GGTCACTAGGGTGTTCTGGATGGTTGCCACACCATTGCTATGTGTTTGTGAAGGGATATTTGGTAGGGTTGTTATATGGTTGTTAGGGTGTTTCTGAGAGGTACTTTGTCATGCAAATCTTTCCTCCATCATGTCAGGGTGTTTTGGGTGGTTGCTAAGGCATGGCTATGTGGTTTCTCCTGTGTTCTGGGTGGTTGCCATGGTATTGGTATGCAGTTTTGAAGGGATGTTTGGTAGCGCATTGCAAAATTGCTAGGGTGTTTCTGAGAGGTGCTTGTTTGTTTGTGTTCTGAGTGTTTTTGGCACTTTTAAAGTGGTTGCTAGGGTATTCTTGCCTGTCCTGTGCAAAATTTGCCACTACAATGCCCCTACAAGGTGTTGTATGACATTGCCAAAGCATTGCAATGGGGTTCCTAAGGTGTTCTAAGTGTTTGCTTTAGCATTTATTGGTGGTTGATATATCATTGGTAGATGGTTGCCAGGGTGTTGTCATACTGCTGCTAGGGTGTTTGGGGTTGGTAGGACATTATGAGATGGACACTAGGGTGTTCTCGGTGGTTGCTAGTATGCAGCTAGGTAGTTGCTGCTATGGTGCTAGCCCGTGCACAACTTGCGACGACAATGCTTGGATGTCGTGGGTCATTGCAAAGACATAGCTATGTGGTTGCTAAGTTGTACCAAGTGTTTTTGTCTATGTATTTATTAAGTAGTTATGGGTGGCTGCAGATATCGCTAACTAGAGTGTTGTGATTGGTAGCCTAGGACATTGCTAACTGATTTCTATTGTGTTTTGTGTTGCTAAGATAATGGTAGTGTACACCAATACATATTCTGAATGTCTTCCTTATCGGACACACCCAATTTTGCTCTTGCAATCTCCATTTATGAGTTGAATCAAGTGTGTTAGATGATGGAGACAGAAAATGTGCTCTGTTGGGGTGCTACAGGACAGGTTTGGCAAGCATTGTTCTAAGTGCTTTATAGGTGGTTGTTCACCAGCCCACATCAAGGAGTTTAACCCCAAATTTCTATAACAGGGTAGCCAACCCTGCTTCTGGAGGGCTACCTTCTTGCAGAGTTGAGTTTTAACTCCGTCTAACACCCCTGGCTGTGATTTTTAAGTAATCCTGAACACCTTGATTAAGTGTTTGATTAGGGTCGAAGTTACAGTAAACTCTGCAGGATGGTAGCCCTACAGGAACAGTGCTGGCTACTCCTGCTCTAGAATATTCTCATCTTTAGATACAGCTCTGGACCTTTCTTCCATGTCTATGGGATTGTTTGACATGGTCTGCCAAACAAAATTGTCCAACTGCTTCGAAAGCCAATAGCAAAGGCTGCATGATTTTACCTAGCAATAATAAAAAATAATGTTTGACTTGAAAGAAACATATTGATAGCCCTTATACTACAGTTACATAAATGTCATAAAACATATTTTTGATTATTTTAAAGCTCTAAGCAGCCATGAACAACCTGCAGTTAGGCTAATGATCTATATTGCTTGATTTGAGCAACATTGGTATCTCATCAGATCAGACCTTTGCTGTTGTTTTCTAAAAGCAATAAGCCATTTCTGCTTCACGTCTTGTCTAGTAACACTTCAAAACTGTGGAAAAATCACTAAAGCACGGCCTCTTGTGGCTAGTTGCTTTTTAAACATTTGTCTTTTGGCCATCTGTTTGGAGAATAAAGCAAACAGAGTCAAAACAAATAGAGAGAAATGAAAGATAAACACTAACCGTTCTCTTTGCATTCTTCAGGGGGCTTCGCTTTCTTCGCAAGCCGGGGGTCCAACCAGGACGTCGTCTTCGTATTGTGGCTGGAGAGAAGAGAAATGGAGCAGAAAAGGAAAAGCGATGAAGAGGAAGAGAGAGAGATGAGAGTGCTGCAAACTGTTACTGTAAATCATCATGCCGAGGAGACGAGAGAGACTGAAAGGAAGTCTCCGGAGATTTTATCTCCAAACGATGGTGAGAAAAAAGTTTAGCTTAACAAAATGACAATCGATACTTTTAATTAGCTGTAAGCTTCTCATTAGCACAGCAAGAAAGAGAGGAGGAGGACACAGATGCGAGGAAGATGTGAATGACTTATGAGGGAGGAGAACCGAACATGAGCGGCGATTTCACTAAACTGTTTAGCACACAATGTTTGTTCCTCACCATTTTGTCATCTGAGACCAATTTCAGGAGTCATAATAAAGATTTATTTTGAAAGATTTGGCAAAATTGGCAGATTTTTGTGACTTAGTAGTGTAACATGCTTACCAACCGCTAATTAATAGCCTTTGAAATTAATCTTAGCCTCCAACAAAGTTCTGACTGCATCTGAAACCCATCTAGGGAAGAACCAGACAGAGATCCGTTTAAAATCTTGATACTACCGTCTCAATATTTCATACAACATTACCATCTTGTTAATTGGCCAATTATGCTAATTAATGCTACATTCATTAGTTACTTACAATTACATTGAGTTAGCAGTGAAGTATAAGCAGTTCACAAATTCCCTCTTTTATATATATGTATTGTATTTAAAGGGGTCATATGATGCTGCTAAAAAGAACATTATTTTGTGTATTTGGTGTAATGAAATGTGTTTATGTGGTTTAAGGTTCAAAAACACATTATTTTCCACATACTGTACATTATTGTTTTTCCTCTATGCCCCGCCTTTCTGAAACGCGTTGATTTTTACAAAGCTCATCGGTCTAAAAAGCAAGGTGTGCTCTGATTGGCCAGCTATCCAGCGCGTTGTGATTGGCCGAATTCCTCTTTGCGTGAACATTTGGGCGGCGTTATGCAAATCTTCCCAGATAGTGACGTAGGTATGTGAGGGCGTGTTAGAACGAGCCGTTTTAGGTAGGTGTGGTTGACTCTTAACTTTTATAAAGAATATCTCTTTGGATTTGAGACTTTAGTCTTTGCAACTTTACAGATTTATTTTATGCACCAAGAGCTTGTAACACTCCAAAGAGAAATGATCAATTGAAATCGCATCATATGACCACTTTAAACAGCAGATATCGTATTGTATGTGTTTAACACAAATTTCCTTTGGATCAATAAAGTTGATCTAATCTAATCTTTTACCCAGTAGTGACTCCTAACACTTCAAGTTCTTATTTGTTTTCCAGGTAAAACCTTGTTTTATATTAGCTCAAGGGCTAGCATGGGTTTGCGCAATACCATTTCAGTTTTGATTGTCAGTGTGGATGCCAGCTTTTGATATGATTTTTGATGTCAAAATGATTTAAATGCTGTTGAATGCTACAAAATGCAATAATTTAAATCCTATAAAAAATTAATGGGATTGGAAAATGTTGCAGCTCAGGTTAGTACCTTATTATTTGGGCACTGACAAGGTCTGACACTAATAATGAAACAAAATGAAACAACCAAACCAAAACAAATCAAAACTAAACTAAACTAAACTAAACTAAACTAAACTAAACTAAACTAAACTAAACTAAATAACTAAAAAAACAAACAAATCCAAACTAAAACCAAAACAAAAACTAAACAACAAAAACAAAAAACTAAACTAAAAACAAAACAAAATAGCTTGGTATGATGCTCAACAGCAACGCTAAACAAATACTTCCAAAATGTTGTATTATTAATTGCATGCTAACATATTTTGGAACACAAGCAAGAAGCATTTTTGTTCATGTATATTATGCATTCACGTACATTCAGTGTGTTTTGGGGCTTAGCGTTAGACACATATTTGTCTAAAGTAGCAGAAGAAACAGCTCTGAGATCAGTGGGAGAAAGGTAGACTCGACTGTCTCAGTGATGGGACTCGACTCACGGCACTCTGCCAAGTGACCGGCCAGAGAAATTGCAGCCAGGGGCGAAAAGATGGTGCACCTTTGATGTGCTCGTTCTCTGTGACACTCCACACTTCTGCCCTTGTGTCTCTGTCTTTCAGTTTGTGTCTTTCTCCCCAGTGTCTCTTTATGATTCACCTCTCTCTTACAGAAAATGTATTTAATATAAAAGCATATCAAAAGACATTCTACACTCGTTCTCTGTGACACTCCACACTTCTGCCCTTGTGTCTCTGTCTTTCAGTTTGTGTCTTTCTCCCCAGTGTCTCTTTATGATTCACCTCTCTCTAACAGAAAATGTATTTAATATAAAAGCATATCAAAAGACATTCTACTGGCACAGTGCATTTCCGCAGCTTATGTTTGGTTGCTTTGGGAGTTTAAATGTGACTAAATGCATGTACAGAGACATTTTGTCATGATTAATTTGGTCCAGTATGAGTGTGTGTGTGTGTGTGTGTGTGTGTTCATGGTGAGAGATAGACATATGGAGAAGTGTCTACAGTTTGAGAATTAAAGACGCTCCGTCTGTGAGGGAGATCGAGAAAAACAAGGCACCATTGGCTGCTTGACAACTCCATTAAATCCTCAATAGTCACACTGTGTGGGCCAGAGCAAACTGTGTTTGTGTGCGTGTGGTGTTTCATAAAGCAGTGGCAGACTGTCCTCACATCATTCGGAGTCACTCACATAAAGCTTCTGTTATGAACAGTACAATGTTATGAACAGAAAATAACTACTGTCCCTGTGGAAAAACACCTAGCAATCAAAGTGTGTATATTTATGTATGCTTTTTACTAATTTAATTTGTATGAATAAATAATCAGTAAGATGCATTATCTTTATATAACATCATTAAATAATGACAATCTATGTATTTATGAAGGAATGAATGATTAATTTGTGGATGTTCCTAAACTTCAGGAGTGAAATTAAAAAGTATGGTACAATTAATGTTACACTATTATAGCCCATGGAAACTGGTTTTAAACAGAGATGTTTGTGTACATTTTTATTGATCATGGCAACAGTGATTCATCTATAGATCAAATGTTGAAAAGTGTGTTATAACTGGGCTGATATCCAGATGCGCTGTACAGTCCAACACACTTTTAGCATTTACAAGAGATGATTCAGGTGGCTGGATTATAGTGGTTTTGGTCCATGTTTGTGCCGTTGCCTGATTTAGATAATAATTTTAGTGATTCAGGCTCTAAATTAACTCATTTAATAAACAACACTGGGTATGGACAAGGTCTGATGCTAATCACAAAGCCATGGTTAAAAACAAATGAAATGAAAAGTGACAAAACAAAACAACTAAAAATCTATAATTGACCTAGTTGAAAAAGAATGTAAATGGAATCAACAGATGTCACTGAATCAGAACCTGTATATCTTGCATGAGCACCAAGGCTCAATATGGTCTGGAGCATGCACGCAAAAAACAGCTTCAATGAATTCCATACAAAGGTGCACTCAGTAAATTTTGCTTCATGTTGTCATGTCAGATCATACTCCCTTCACTAAAATAATCATCTAGCACAGTTTTATCATTAGTAGAATATTAAATATTTCAACACAAGCATTTCAGTCAAATATAGGGAAAATATCTGCAACCTGACGCAACAGTTTAAAAGTAGCCCAGTTCTGTGCGAAAATCATCTCAACTCTGATGGTTGCCGACATAAATATATATAGAAGTTTATAATTAAAATCTTGAAAAAATACTACTAATTGTATATTACACATATTATACAATATTATATTATATACATATATTTAATATATCTAGCTGGTCATGTGATCGAAACATGGCATACTGCTCAATGTTCATGATTTTACTTTTTTTTCCTCTTCTTTCCAAAATTACTATTAATTCTATTCATTTAAATCTCTGTGTAAAAAAATACTGAATGCACCTTTAAATAATGCTGATTATAATTTAGAATTCGAATTCACTGAAAATTAGACCGATACAGATACTCACTCTATAAAGTACACTTCTCCTTTCTCAGTGTACGCCATCTCCCAGTTATCTGGCAGAGGATCCAACTCGTCATTCTCGTCCAGTTTGAGAGGTGATTTTGGTGGTTCTGTCTCTTCTTTAGGGGCATCTGTGGAGGTCTCGGAGGGGCATGTGGTGGGCATCTCTCCTGAGGCGTCTGTACTCTTGTCTTCATGTTCACTGGACTCTGAAAAATGCAAGAAAAACTGCTTTTAACTGAAGTCTTAAAAAACCATGCTTTATGTAATCAAATAACTCTCAACAATGTCATAAAGAAACTGCCAGAATTAAACTAAATGTACAACATTTTAACAAGAGAAACTGCAGACCTCTGATTCAAACACCTCAATCAATTAAAAAGAATCAGACAGTAGATGTCGATAAAAAAGATGAATGGTGTAATATGATTCAACAAAATAATCACCAAGAGAAGCTACGCTTATAAAAAGAAGCTGTCAAATTTACAACAATCCAGCGCAATATTCTGGGAGACGGCTGGTGAAACTAAGAGTCCAAGTCTACAGAGAAACCGGCGAATGTGAGCGAGACAGACAGAGAAAATATTTCTGAGAGGGAGATGTAACTGAGATTTGGAGTTTCTGAGAGAATTGAAAAGGAGGTCACTGTCAGAGGGGCATGTTAGAAAAGATGGAAGAACAGACAGAGATGGAGTTAGACGGACTGAGACGGTGAAATAAGAGCGGAGTGATTAAAATGGAGTCTGCAGTGAGAAAGCGAGAGAGAAGACGACGAAAAAAAAAAATAGAGGGCCGAACGTGTCCTAGTTTGAGTCATGGAGGATGGCGGTCCCATAGGAAAGGCGCAAAAGACAGATCGAGGGGAAGAGAGAGGGAGAGACGAAAGAAAAAGACACCGAACCCCATAACATTCAGCAGTACTGATGTTTTAATCAACTGAAAAATGAGAGGACAGCTTCACTCAATTCCACACACAAGCTCTGTTCCAAAACCTAGTGAGCTGCCTATTTAGACAACATTTAAAATCATCAAAGGGGCACATCGTCTTTTTGCCACACTTGCCAATAGTGGATAAATTGAGAATATTTTCCAGGCATGTAAAAAAACATATATTTGTTTTATATACTGTAAATACCAAAACAATACATCTAAGATGGTGCACAACAGAAATAAAGAATATTCTTATTTCCTAACAATGTGTCTCAGATATTTCATCAACATCTCAGACTGTGCTCAGATATTGCAAGATACCAAAGCGCGCAATGAAAAGTCAGCGATTTCAATATGAGCTCAAACATTTTACATAAGATCCCAAGGCCACATTATTTGTGTTACGTATCCGGTCCATGAACTTCCGTCTGCTAGCCATCAGAGGTCACCCTTTCCATTTTCATTGACTCTCGCACTACACACTGTTGCACATCACCCCGACTACATATCCCATCATTCATTGCACTGATTACACACAGCCCTGATTGCACACAGCACTGATTGCACACAGCTGTTTCATATCACTCATTCACTATTTAACACCCAATCTCACTCCGTTCTGGCTGCCGAGTATTCTATGCGTTTATAACTCTCTTAGCGATAGCTACTCTACGGAGCCTTTTTCCCTTCGATAGCCTTAGCCTAGTCTTGCCTTGTCTGTTTCCTCGTCTTCTGATTATTGCCTGTGTACTTCGGATTACCTCTCTCGTCTTGCCCGGTTCGGATACTGTTTGCCCCTGCCTGGACCTTTGCATTGTTATTGGATAACCCCTCGTGTCAAGCCCTCTGGATATTGTTAGCCACTTTTCGACCATGCCCGTTTTGGATTACTCTTCTGTCTTGCCCTCATTATACCTGTTTGCCATTGTTCGACCCTGCCTGTGTTTCTGACCTCTTCTGTTTTAATAAAACTCGCACATGGATCCGCACGTCTCGCGTCTCGTCAGCCCCGTTACAATTTGGGTTATCCACATTAATATTCTAGCTTTATTATATACGCTTACCTGCTGTCAAAAATTGTCTTATTGGTTTCTATTTCCCAAAGAATTTTAAGAAAAACTTTCAAAGACAAAGTTGATACTTTAGTGAAGTTGACAAACACCATTTGCAACTCATTTTATGTCCATAATGTTACATATTTCTGAGTGAAAGAATATTTACCCACTTTTTTGACTAGAATGTGGAGGCTGAAGGGTTGGTTGACCCCCAAAAAAGAGCATTTTGTCATCAATTATTCAGCCTTGTGTTGTTCCAAACTCATAAGACTTTCATTCATCTTTGAAACACAAAAGTCAAATATGGTACTGTACCTGCTAAAAGGTGAAACATCATGAAAATCTGACTTTTCCAGGTTTAAAGTGCTATAATCAGGTCCCCAGTGCATCTACCAACCATGGAAACGTGAAAAAGATTAACCCAGTAACTTTGTTTTGGTAAGCCTTTTTTTGCAAGCGTCTGAGAAAACGAGCGTGTCTGATTTCGGTTCCTTGGTGACGTGGCAAAGTGATCTCATTATAATATTACCGCCCCTTATTCTGTATGTTTACACCCACGGCGCCGTCATTTTTATTTCGCAAGCGACAACGGTGTACCAGTTCTAATGCCATGGCGAAAGTTTGAGCAAAACATGCTAACTGTTCTGTCTTTGGCTGCACAGAGAGAACAGAACACTATTTAGAGTCCCAGCCTCAGAGGAGACAAGAGAGCAGTGGATTTATTTAATGTATCTTGCTGCTGCTACACAGATCTAAAATAAACATGCGATTTATTTCCCAGCTGTTTACCTTCACAGACATAACCGACTGTTTTTTGTAACTCATGTGTGTTTTTAACGTAAACTTGTGTGTGAATGAGAACTTAGTTAAGTACTCACATGTGACAGCCACTTTCTGTCCGTGTGCTTCAGATATGTGCGCGCAAGAAAACGTATATCAGAAGTTTAAACTCATATGGTTTAAAACGCATGATTTCAGAGCGATAAACATGATTCTGGAAAAGGGGGCGGGGAGCAGCAACTTATTTGCATTTAAAGAGACAGGCCCCAAAAATAGCGTGTTTCTGCTTCCACTCAAAATAGGCATTTTCAAAATGATATAATAAATTATCTGTGGAGTATTTTGAGCTGAAACTTCACAGACACATTCTGTGGACACCAGAGACTTATATTACATATTGTAAAAAGGGGCATAATATGTCTCCTTTAAGGCACAAGAACCAATTAGGTTCATCAAGCACATCAAGCAAGTACAGGTGAGCTTCCATTTACCATATTTGATTTGCTCTATGTATGTGCATTGATCAATTTTAATTGTGGTTTATATGTGGAAAAACAGCCTAAATTAAATCTATTCAACATATAAAGAAGAAGACTTGGACTAAACAGCTCAGTTCATATGGATTTCTGTTGCAATGCCAATACTTTTGGAAGCATCAAGTTTTGGTAGAAGTTCAATGGAGGTACACAAATCTCGGTAAGACTTTAGAATAAGGAACACATATTCACTATTAATTAAGAGTTTTCTCTCAATAAAATCCAAATCTGCTGCTTATTAATAGTTAGTAAGGTAGTTGTAAAGTTTAGGTATGTGTAGGATTAAGGGATCTAAAATATGCTCATGCAAAATAAGGCATTAATATGTGCTTTTTAAGTATTAATAAACAGCCAATATGCGTGCTAATAAGCAACTAGTTAATAGTGAGAATTGGTCCTTAAAATAAAGTGTTACCAAAATCTCTCAGGTTACGTTAAAATGTCTTAATTAGTGTTTTGAGGATGAATGAACATCTTATAGGTTTGGGTGACATGAGGTTGAGTAAATTATAACAGAATTTTTATTTTTGGGTGAACTACCCCTTTAGGGTATTTATTTGCCATTATTGCCCTAAACATCACTACATCAACAGTAAAGGCACAATATGTAATTTTCACCGCTAGAGGGCACGTATTCAAAATAAACAAATAGACAAAGGCCTAGTTAGATGACGCCATGACTGAGTGTGGAATCATGGGAGTTGTCGTCTTCATCCCCACAGCCGAAGCAATCCGACGGGATTCGGGCAGAAATCATGTTCATGGATGAGCTAATGATTTATTAACGTAGTAGAATGAAGCAGGGTGAGGCTGAAAGCTGTCGAAGCGAAACAAAGCCGCTGAACAAGCGTGACACACTGCTCAAAAGCAGCGGAGCTTTTATTATGCCACAGTCGACCGCTTCCGCTCCTTCCGCTCCTTCCGGTCGTGCGTATGTGGGGAAAAAAAGCAGCGCTGTTTTATCATACTAGATACGTTTGAAAGTTCTGTTATAATGCTACTCTGTGCGGTCGTCGAGGGGTTATGACGTCATTGGCAGGTGGCACAATGACACTATGGACACGCTCCGTGTCACTAGATAAAATAGCTTATTTCTCTGGATTTAAACATTCTTCGAAACATTTGGGATAATGTAAGTACACAAGTCAGCAAAATATATAACACTGTTCTAGTGGTTTTTGGATATTTTAATAAAAAAATCTTACATATTGTGCCTTTAAGCAACATTAAATGAATACTGGCAAGATTATAGAAAACCTTAGAAAACAATGCCTAAAGAGCTATTTGGCCTTTGGTTAACATTATTTCCAGTCGATGTTAACTGAAAGTTGTTTTTGAAGCAGAGCAAGTATTATATTTTTCTCCTTTTTTCAAACAACATGGATTGATGAATCGTGCACAATAAGACCAGGAACTTGTATTAAGAAAGCAAATAGGGTCAATTTTGATTTCATGTTGAATTTAAGTGCACTGAGCTATTAAAGAGCTCTGAGCAATACATTTTCCTCTGGCAGTTCTTTATATTACTACATGTCAACAATTATCTCACTGTGTTAGATTCTAATTCACTATGTCATGCTGCTGTATTAAAGCCAGAAGAAAACAAAAGGTTTTTTCAGTACATCCAGACTTGATGCACGTTTCCGAGAGTGAAAACCAGGGAATGTGTGATAACATGCTGGTGCGACAGTTGCTAGGCTATTTCCCTGACAACAGTAGTTACTATGATATAATTTAGAATGGAGGTGGTTGCTATGATATATGATGCACCTAGTGGCTCGACAGTAGTCACCTCTATGCTAGTAACCCTGACCTGAGGTCACAGCTGTAAATTAACTTACTACACTGGAGAGCCGCACATGACAAGATCTCTCTTCTTCTTAAACTGATTGAGAGCTCCTCACCTGGGGTGATGGCCACTCCGTTGCCGTTGATGACGGGCCTCTCCTCCTCTTCCTCTTCAGGCGGCTCGATGCCAGCCTTCTCCATGTTGCTGACGGACTTGTTACGTCTGCGTTTGCCCTGTGATCTGGGTGTAGCGCCTGGCAACAGCTGCTCAGCTACATTCAGCAGCAGTGGGCTGGGCTCTGCCGGGGGCTTCGGGGTGCCGTAATAGTTATCTGGAACCAATCAGACATTTGATGCATAATTTACTTTTAATAGTTTATAATGTAAGCTCTGCCACCATGAAGTTACAACTCTGCAAATGGAGAAAGATGCAGTATCAGCCTCTCAGGCAATAAACAAGGCACCTTTCTCCAGTGGGTGTTTAGTTACTTTGGGGACAAAATTGCTTCCAGAAGTGAGCTACATCTGCAAACACAACTTTTAGGAACTTCCGGCAACATGACATGAAAGTGATTCAAGAATAAAGAAAACAACGTTTATTAATTATTTAAAAAAATATGTATTTTTGGTGTAGTATTAGGTTTGGTGTGCAGTAATTAAGAGTGTAGATTTGGTTTTAATTGCAGTTATGTTCGAAACATAAAAAAAAGACATTTTAAAATGAAAAAATCTTATATTATATATACATTATATATCTTAATGAGTAAGCAACTGAGTCATTCATTCATTTGATTCATTTAAATGGCTGATTCACACACACACACACACACACACAGTACGGTTAAACATTTCTGGGTTGGTAATATTTTGTCATGTTTTTGAAAGAGAAGCCTTATCTAAAATACAGTAAACAGTGTGATAACGGTTAATAACAATTGTCTATTTTAATAACTGTGGTCCTCCAGAAACATTTCTTCTATTATCAAATTCGAAAACGATTGTGTTGCTTAATATTTTTGTGGAAACCGTAATACATTTTTTCCCCCCAGGATTTCGAAATGATGAATAGAAAGTTCAAAAGAACACCAATTATCAATTTTGAAACATAAATCTATAACTTCTGATAAATTATATGTATCCTACTGAATAAAAAAAGAATAACCTTAATTACCCCCAAACTTTTTAACAGTAGTGAGTATGGGAGTATAATACATATACATACAACTCATTTTTAGCAAGTCAACAATATTTTAACATGTTTATAGAAATTTAATAATAAAAAAAAGATTTTACATTTTAAATTGAATGTAAAAACACAGTTTAGGATAAAAAAATGGTTAAGTGTCGTTGAGCTAAGCTAAGTATTGCACGCACAGGACCCATAGTAAGTGTTAACCATTTTTAATAATTGTTAAACTAAACCATCAACACCCTAATCTACATATATAGTAGTATACTTATAATTAGCTTTATATAAAAATATGAAAAATAACCTAGATGACTAGATGATGACTACAAGACTAGTCAGATGACTAGGCAAACATGATGTGTTCATAATATCTTACTGCTCTGAGTGTGGTATTCGCATTGCTCAGTCAGTGAAAATATTGTCTTTGCAAACAAAACAAAACAACTCAAAAGTCCATTCAGCCAGGACTCTGACACCAGTACAACACCACACACAAACTGTTGCTCAAATGACCGAGAGCTGTTCTATGTTTACAGACTCAGTGAAAGTCCCATGGCTCCCCTGGGATGAACAGGCTCTAGAGGAGAGCAAGGCATCTGGTTGAGTACGCCTTCAATTCTCCCTGGGTCACTACCTGACATGATGCTGCAGCGTGCAACAGCTGTAACTCATAAATAAGAATGGATATCTCTCTATCTATCTATCTATCTATCTATCTATCTATCTATCTATCTATCTATCTATCTATCTATCTATCTATCTATCTATCGTTTGTTTGTACATGTACAACTGCACTGTATCTGATTAATTTTCTACACAGCTGTGATACTTTCATGTGTATCGTGACCTCTTTCTCATCAAATAATAAAATACTTAAATGCAATATTTCATGTGCTTTTATTTATTTCCCTTTCTTTGCAATAATTATCAGCTTATTGTAGTCTTAAATATAATTTATAATGAATTTTACTGCAATGAAGTGAATTTAATCTAATTATAAAAACATTTTCATGTTAATATGAATGTTTCTTCTTTTTTCTCATTTTTTATGTACTGCCAAAAAAACAGTAATAAATAATAAAATAATAATAAAAAATGATTCTAATAAATTTCAGACACATTTACAGTCATTACAAAAGTATATTTGACAAATGAGACCTATATTTTATTCAGATATAACCATCACAGAATGCTAATAAACTCAATACATAATCTGATGCAGTGGAAATTACATTGTGGTATGAATGCTCAAGATTCTTAGAAAAATTAAGTTCACAGGATAGCTCTTGATATACCTGATATGTACTTAGTCACTGTATATATGTTACGAGTTAGTATGTTTTTGTATCCAGGGATTTAAAGACTAGTTTATATATTAGATTTCAAAATCCTTTGTAAACCCACCAAAAATCCCACTCTTATACCTGATGTTACATTATTAAAGCTGAGCTGAGAAACAGTCTCAGAGCTCTTTTCTGTGCTAGTCACATTCTTTAAAAAACATATTGAAAATCACTGTTATGAACACTGAGGAAGAATTAACAAGAGAGAAACAGAGTAGAAGAGAAGAGCTGATGTATTTCACATACGAAGATTATTTTCTGTTGCTTTCAGTCACTGCACTGTAAAATCCAATAGTTTACCTTACTTAGATTTAATTAGTTATCTTTACTTAGTTGTTATACTTTCTAGGTTTTATTAAGTCACAGCTACTTTCAAGGCAAATAAAACAATTTACTTACTGTTTTGAGTGACACTTACTTAAAATATTCAAGTAGCCACAAAGGAACCTATATTAGATTTCAAAATCCCACCAAAAATCCCACTCTTATACCTGATGTTACATTATTAAAGCTGAGCTGAGAAACAGTCTCAGAGCTCTTTTCTGTGCTAGTCACATTCTTTAAAAAACATATTGAAAATCAAAATCACTGTTATGAACACTGAGGAAGAATTAACAAGAGAGAAACAGAGTAGAAGAGAAGAGCTGATGTATTTCACATACGAAGATTATTTTCTGTTGCTTTCAGTCACTGCACTGTAAAATCCAATAGTTTACCTTACTTAGATTTAATTAGTTATCTTTACTTAGTTGTTATACTTACTAGGTTTTATTAAGTCACAGCTACTTTCAAGGCAAATAAAACAATTTACTTACTGTTTTGAGTGACACTTACTTAAAATATTCAAGTAGCCACAAAGGAACCAATGACATTAATAAAGCTGTGAGAGGCAGCAGTGCACTAATATGTTGCTAATGTTGCTAAGAAAGGCTAAGCTCACAAGACCCCAGAGAATCACATTCCCTTTAGGGTATTTTTATATCACACTGCGAATTAACCAGAGTTACCGCAAATCAGATACTTTCCCAAGATCTGTTCTCTACAAGGGACTCAAAAATCAGATTAATCGCAAAAAAAAAAAAAACCTTACAGAAATAACAAAAATGGAAAAATAACACAAAATAGAAATACAAGTTGTGGCCACTGTGGCTCATTATTATTTGCAATAATTACTTACGCAAACAAAATGCTCTGAAGAACATATTTGTTAGCAATTGGCAGAAGACGTCTTATGTCTGGGGAGTGAGAGTGTGTCAGACAGTTCAAGGTGGTAATAATAGCCAATCGTTGTAATGACAGGCTTTGGCTCTGGCATTTTAGAATGACCAAAGCAACATTTTCTTTTGTTCTCTGAGATAAATATTCATTCATGTAACTTGTTCAGGCAAAGTCACACCTTTTTGATGCACAACTATGAATTTTCCTGGTAAACATGTTTCTATTGCAGTTTATGCAAATGTCTTCTTACTGAATAAAACAATGTTTCCACCTAAAGCGAGTTTTTTTTTTTTTTGCACATTTTGAACATTTTATTTGCATCTCTGTGTTTTAATCTAGCCAAAGAGTGCCTAAAAATATGTGGATAGAAACCTGGCTTATGACATTTTGATCTTAAAGGGGTCATATGATGCGATTTCAATTTTTCCTTTCTCTTTGGAGTGTTACAAGCTCTTGGTGCATAAAGAAGGTCGGTAAAGTTGCAAAGACTAAAGTCTCAAATCCAAAGAGATATTCTTTATAAAAGTTAAGAGTCAGCCACGGCTACCTAAAAAGGCTCGTTCTAACACGCCCCCACATGTCTACGTCACAATGTGGGAAGATTTGCATAACGCCGCCCAAATGTTCACGCAAAGAAAGAAGGCGTAACTTTTATTCTCGCTGTAGTATTGTTGTTGCCGCCTCCACCATGTCGTGAAGACGCTGTGTTTCGTTGTGAAAGCTAAACTACTTTGTTTGGCCTTCCAAAAGAGGACGATATCCACTTTGTCATGCCTGGAGCTGATCCGTGCTGGTTGCTGAGGAGATACATCAACTTCGAGCTGTGGATCGCCGGATTGGCTTTCACCGTGGACGAAGCGGAGTCCAGCCCGGGGTCGTCACATGTGGTTGCCGCAAGCCTGCCGGACGCTCCTTTGTCGAATCCGCCGGCCGCGCCATTCTCAAGCCCACCCGCCTCCGCTCACTCAAGTCCACCCGCCGCCGCTCACTCAAGCCGGCCTCCGCTCACTCTAGGATGCCGGCCGCCGCTCACTATAGCCCGCCGTGTGCGAATCTACTTAGTTTGGCCTTCCAAAAGAGGACACGACTAGAAATCAGTGGTTAAGTTGCATTTACAACACTGTTCCAGAACAGTTCAACCCAAATATTCAGATGTGTCCAGCGCATTTTATGGAGGACTGTTTCCTGATCCTACAGTAAAAAGACAGTAAAAGCCATTATAATCAGTAATTATGTCCCCACTGGATGCAACAAATGCCTCGTTTATAATGGGTTTTAATGTTTTTGTCTCGTCCCTCCGGCCGGGACACCGGGCACCACAGTGTGTTAAGGGGCGTAACATTTCCGTCACACGCTTGAGGTACTCGGCCAATCACAATGCAGTGGATAGCTGGCCAATCAGAGCACACCTCGCTTTTCAGAACGATGAGCTTTGTAAAAATCGACACGTTTCAGAAAGGCGGGGCATAGAGGAGAAACAATAATGAACAGTATGTGGAAAATAATGTGTTTTTTGAACTTTAAACTGCATAAACACATTTCATTACACCAAATACACAAAATAATGTTCTTTTTAGCAACATCATATGACCCCTTTAAATATGACACCATTCCCTCCTTAAATGTAAGTCTATGGGATTATTTAGTTGATTTTGCCGTTCACTAGGTTAAAAATGGCTTAGAGTAGTAATATTAATAGCTCACTTCACCTCAAGAAACTTGATTTGAGGTATTACTTATGTCCACAGCACAAAAACCATCACTTCAATGCTTAATTGGTTGGTTTAGTTTAGGACATTATCAAATCCATAATGGTAGCAATGAGATAATGGGGCAAAAACATAATATGTGGTTGTGCAACCTAGCCAATTTACCTTCATAAGTTCCACTTTCCAGCAAAGCTCCACTTCTCTCCAATTCCACAAACCGCTCAACGGTCACAAAGTTGTAGTCTACTCCCGGAACCTCTCCTTCTTTAGGCTGTCTGGTTGTACCTACAGAGAAAAGAGAAAGGCAGGAGTTAGTTCAGGTCAGCGAGTCCTATAAGGGTTCGTGCCATGTGCTTAATCAGCAGCTAGAAAGTTCATCCAACAACAAAAAAAGGTTTTTATAGCAAAGCTCAACATGAGCCAAACAGAACAGGTTTCCGGCTAACTGGTTTACTTCATTTATATACAGAGTGCCACATGTGCTGTCTGACAGTCTGTCAGACAGAAAAAAAGAATAAGGGAGGAAGAAAAACAAAATGTCAGGGTTTTGAGTCTTTAAGGTGAAAATAATAACGCAATCTCGTTCATACAAAATGAAACATACAAGCCTGGAGTAATGGTGTTTTCCAAAAATGTAAAAAAAACAAAACCAAAACTGTCTACTCTAATCTTCCATGTCACATCATCCTTCAGAAATCATTCTAATCACTCTAATAATCATTCTAAAAGAAAGAAGAAATACTTTTATTCAGCAAAGACACAGTGACAATAAAGACATATATAATGAGATTTCTATTTCAAGTAAATGCGGTTCATTGAACCCAATGTTCATGAACAATTCTGAAAAAAATATCACAAAATTACAAAATTATTAAGCAGCTTATAATAAATAAAAGTTTTTCTATAATAAATTACATTTTAAAGCATATTAAACGTACTGTTTTAAACATGATAAAAAAAATGGTATTTGACTGCTAGTGTATGATAAGAATTCACGTCCAAGCCAAGTCAAGTCTAATAACACTTTCACAGCAAAACATTCTCTTATGGCATTTGTCATGTAGCACCATTATAACATTAGTTGGCATCCATTTTACCCTTGTTATGAGACTAGGATGCTAAAAACAGTTTAAACTGGACCAGGCGTGCCCAACTTCCTGTTTGGAAGTCTCTAGCACTCCAAATTACCTTTATTACCCGGTTCAGGTGTATTTATTCAGGGTTGGAGGTAAACTTTGCAGGATGTTGGTCCGCCAGGAGAATAATTGGGCATCCCTAAATAGCCTAAGGTGGTATGCTGTGTCTTAGCTAGCCACCAAGCTAGTCAGTTTTGCTACTATAATCTTACAGGGCTTTTAAGCTCTTGTTAGTTGCTCAGGGGTGCATTTCCCTAAAGCACTGTTAGCAAACTATGGTCGCAAGTTCCATTGAACTCTGTTGGTAACGATGGAACTTGAGACCATAGCTGCCTTTGGGAGCGCACCCCAGGCTAGAATAACAGCTGGCCGACCAGATGAACAGCAGCTTGCTCAGGTTGGGAGACCAGCTAAACAAGCCTAAAACAGTTAGAAAAGTGTGTGGTGGTAAAATATTTAACATCCATTTTACTACCTTAAATGCTAACAATTTCCAAGCTATTTAGAAAGAAATCAACGCACACCACCCCTCACTGAGAGTACAATGAGAACAGTTCAAAGTGTATGTATATTAAGCAATGTGTTAAAATGACAAACTGAAGTGTTAATGTATTCCTGCATCCTGCATGTAGCAGAGCTGTAATTAGCCAGCAAGGAGTTTGTGCTAATTGCTGCTAGCTGAGAAAGCACTGGGGTATTTCTAAACTCTGCATATTAAGGGAGCTCACTGCGGGAGTGCCAACAGTAAACACCTGAAAGACTCCAGGGTCAAAGACACGACGCTCATTATTTTCAGTATCTATTCATTTATTCAAAAACAAATTAAAAATGTCATTTAAACATAGAAACATAGAAATGTAAACATTTAAAGGTTCGAACACCTCTTCTCTGATAAGAATGTTTTCATTTCTTTTTGATATTTTTTTTGCAGGGCAAGAAGTAAAAAAAAATGTCAGGGTGTTAAAACTGTCCTGATATCATAATGAAGAAAAAATCCTGATGATAAGAAAATCTTATTTTAGTTGTGGATATCTTTTATTAAAAGGCCAACAAGTGTCTTAAAAATATCAGATAAATTTACCTTTTTATGACAAGCCAAGGTTAGTTAAGGCTGTAAAATGTCATGTGATGTGACATAAGAAGTGAATTATATTTATTATTTTAATTTATTATTAATTCATAAATGTACCATTTCTCACCACACACAGCATCATTAGACACGACTGCATTGCATTTATTAATTTTAAACTTCTTGAAAATGAAACCATATGAAACCAACCAGAATACTATAGTAATTCTAAGAACTTAAACTTGAATTTTAAAAGATTTTTTGGGAATTTCTTCTTTATCGTTGACTCTCCAACACTTTAACAACTCTAAAAACCTTTACTCACCGGTTCCCATAAACCCAAGTACCACACATATAGGCCTAATATTAGAAGCAAACAACATAGAAAATTCCTGTACCCAGTTTTTGTCCAAATACTGGCCGACGTCAAGCGGTGACACTCTCATCCATTACCTGACCTACCAAATACCAGTTCACAGCAATCAAAATACAACTACAAACAGTTTAAAAACCACATCTGACAGCATAGATTTGCACTATGGGAGCCCAAAAGGAGCCCTGCACAGTCATTAAGCTGTCACTAGTGTTTGAAACTCACATCATCTCTCATCATCTATCAATCAATAGCTACACAATGACAACAAGTCCCAGAGCCGGGTGTCTTTCCACCGTGATAGCCTATGATGGGCATGCTAATGACAGGTCACAGGAAATAGGGGCAAATGGAACGTCTCCACTCTCACGACCCATGTCTTCTCGGGGCGAGCTTTGACTGAAGACTGCGCAAAGACTGCCTCATCACGACAACTAGAATATCTCACAATACCGCCGGCTACCCAAGCGTGTAATAACATAATGAAAAGAAAATGAATCCATTACGACCATTAAATCACTTGCCAACATCGTCTTAAAGCTCAATTTGTTGATAAATCATACTCTAAATAAGAAAAGCAAATTGCTGGAAGATGGATCGATCTCAACGCCAGTGATTTCTTCTCAGGAGAGGCAGCTACCTTGGCAGAAAGGCTTGGTTGACGAGATGCACATCAATCTGTTTATCTTGAGCTGATACAAACTGTAGCTGGATGCTCACAGAAAACATTTCTCACTGGCTTTCTAAAGAATAGCAGACATCGTCAGTGACTGTTGGCTGTGACTGTCATGTAGCAAAGACACTTTTCATCAATACATGGTCAATTTTAAATGGGAAAGACTTTAAAGTTACAACATTTCGCAGCAGAGGCTTACGTGGCTATGCTAACTAACCACACGTGAGTACAAATTTATCCAGGATATCTGCATACAATCATTTTCACAAACAATTCATGATTCGTCAACAACTTTTATATTCTACTTTTTTTTTTTTTTAAACACAGGAACAACTAACACACACACACACACAATCACTCTTGGTGGCCTTATAAATGTTTACAAACATTACATTAAATAAGTATTTCATCAGACACAAGCTTTTTAAGGTTGCTGAGAGTAAAGAAAGGTTGTGTGTAAAGTCCTTATATGGAGATCATTTTGGTGTGTTTATACAAATGACTAACCTCGGGCAAAGTTGGTTAATTAAAAAAAGCCAAATTCATTAATATTACCACAAGATTAAGAACAAATATGTGTGTGTGAATTAGTCAATTATTAGTGAACATGACCCAGTGACTCTATGGAACATCCAAGTGAGTGTGTCTATGCTAATTTCAAAGTGGACCTTTGATGCTGGACAGCTATAATTAGCCATGCTATCCAGTGGGTGCTTTTCACGATGACAGTGCGTTCTCATGGGAGCACAGGTGAATTGCTTCCAGTTTTGAATGTAACTCATTTTCCTCATAATACTGAAGTCTGGGTCATCTCATATTTGTGAACTCCTGTGCTACTAATGCTTTTCTAGCTGTCTAAATTCCATCACGCTAATAGTCCAGGTTGATGTTTTACAGCTTTTTCACTTGGCTGACTTCAAGACTTCAACACACCTGTAAACACAAGTGCTACTGTATGGCACTCCGAAGCGTTAAAGATGAAAGGGAGGTATGCAGCCAGAAAGCTGAAAGCACACTGTCAATATGCCATTAACACTGAGCCACACAACTCATTATGTCTAGATACACACAAGATAGGTCTCTCTAGCATCTTGTGTAGATTTTTGTGTCACCTAATTATTATGCATATTGTCCATTAGTCCTTTGTTCCAAAGAGTTCAACGCATTAGGCAATGTTAATTTGTCATGGACTTTAACAAGTTAGTGCAGATAATAGACATATATCACGGGGTAATACTTAGGAAAAACAATGTAAAATACGATCCTTTTATTAAGTTTGAGCTTCCCTCTAGAGTATTTTTCATAATCAAGCTTTTAACCAATTTACATCTAATTCAGCTTAAGTCAGAAAGTGCTTTCCAGTTTACCAACCTCTAGAGGAAGAGAAAAAAAGTTATTCTTTCCACATGAGCAATCATGGGCTGCAGCGATTTGCAAAAAAAGGCACACAGCTAGACGGCTAGTTATTTGTCCTCAGTATTGTCCACTTGGAAGTGGCATCATCTTCTTGTGTACAAAATGTACTTCAATATCTCCTGCAGAGAAGAAGGGGGGCGGGGTGGGGGTGGGGTGAGGAAAATACTATCTGGAAATAGTGCCTTTGCACATTTGCTGAAGCAAGGTAGAAAACGAAGAGAGGCGTGAAGGATTTGGGCTTGGCGTTTCTTTGAAAACATGGCACGTGGGCTATGTTCTGGAATGGGTTCACAGTCTCATAAGACATGTAACAAGAACAGTATGTGCTTCATATAGGCTAGGAGGTCTCAATTTCCACTGCATGGACATGATAGCTCATTCCTTGGGTTTTTATATTATATTCTCCATAAACAACTACTGCTTTTCAAAAGGCTTGTATCTCAGTGAATGATGAATGTGTTGGAACAAATCTTCCTCTTGAAACAAGCAAAATGTATTGGAAAAAACAATAAAAAGTTATTGTAGGCATTTCTGTCTAGTTTTAAGATACATTAATATTTTTAGAGGCTAAATATTTATGGTATTTTTGAGAATGTTTAAGAGATTTTGCAAGTT